AAGAATTATTACTATTAATATATTTATTAATGTAGAATCACTACACATGGATCGATATTCCTTAGGCGTCTGGCCACCATCGGCAGTTTCCCCTTGAAACGGGGTTCGCTCGAAGACCAAAAAATTCCACGCATACCTCGACGAATTTCTTTCATTCCTGCGTATGTGTTGGATCATTATTAATCTAGAGCCACGTGCAGATTGCAGGATTTGCGTCACAAATTAACGCGACCACGAATCGATAAAAATAACTCCAAGACGAGAAGCAGATAAGAACGCGGCAGTCATAAGAACTCCAGTCACACAGATTTCTCCTCTGTCATTGAGAAACCATACACGTTTTACATGTCTTCCCTAGGTATCAATGGCTGGTCGATCGAAATCCAGTACCGGTCTGAAACACGAGATGCCACCGACGGAAGTACCGGTCGAAGGGGTAGGGAAAAGGGCAGAAAGGAGAGCAATTTCGCGTGGGCGTTGGGACCGGTTACGTTTGAAGGTTGACGGGGTCTCTGAACGGCGTGGCGCGGCGCTTCGAATTGAACGCTTGGAATTTCGCGTCGAGGACTTGATCCAATTTAATTAAACTCTTGTCGAATTCCGGGACACCAACTGGCTCTTCGATTATATTAGTCTAGTGTAATCGAATAATGCACATATTTATGGCACACGTAATTTATATAGCACGTGTGCCTTAAAGCAATTAAAAATTAATTAAACAAGTTGTTGAATAGGCAATTCTATTCAAATTTAATAAAAGTTCCGTAGCAGTTCGTGTCAATTGTTTCAAACAACGAATGAATTATATGATTACTGAAAAGTTTACCGAGCGGTTGATGAATAAAGTGAACAATTAATGAGCTTTGGGAAGAAGGGCATTGAGTAAATTTCATAAACTCGTAGAACGTGCGAATACTCTTTTCCCTAGCTCATTCTGTTCATTGAGGTTTCATCCAATTGCTTACAGTGCCCACTTCAGAAATTTATGCTTCGTCAGAGTGTTTTTCATTACGAGGGAAAAGCGACCGGTTCGCGGGCGAAAGAGGACACGGAGGCCGCGAATCGATATCGCTTTCGGAAGGACCTGGTGGCCTATCTGCGCGAAGTCACGCGAATTTAGGGCGTGGAATCGCGGACGAGCGAAAAGCTACGATGCACCTAAGCGCGCGCTCTCGATGGGACACATTCGATGGGAATTCGATTCGCGTTTCGCCCGCGGTGACGATTGGTCATATCCGTCGTATTTCGTGTGCAGAATTCACCGTGACGCGTTTCATCGTCGCGTCGATGCAGCTTCCCGTCAACTGTCGACAGAAATCGTGATTGGAGCGAAGAAGGGAAACGCAGTAGCATGAGACCACTTGCCGCGAGGATGTCGGCTCGAGCGAAAAGCGAAGACCGGTCGTACGGCACGGGCATTAGCTCGCGACCTTCCATCGTAGTTTGCGACTCGCGTCATCGACTATTTGTGTATCTAAAAAGACGCAGCGGATACTAAGAACGTGACAGAGGTCAGGGAGCAAACAGGGAGAAAAAGAAGAAACGAGACAACGGCGCCTGTAAGGAAGTTCTGTCGTGTCTATCTCTGAGATTGAGTGGGCTGAATAAAATCTCTATCGGCTCCTAGACACGTTACATGCGGACAATGTTCACGGAATGAAGGCGAAACTATCGCAAAAAGAGCTGGACGATCTATTCAGCGAGGTATTAAAAATTTCAGCAGCATTAAAAGAAATTACAATTCAATACACTTTGTTGTAAGGGATTTGCTACGTTTCGTCTGTAAATAATTTAAAGAAAGATAACAAATTTAAAGAGGACTAATTTAAATAAAGCGCGCTAAATAGGAAAAGAGTAACTTGAACTATAAACCGAATTACAGCGCCAGCGTATTACGCTGTTGAAGTAATTCTGTTTTTGTAGACAGCTATTAAGCCGCGCGGTTTGCGTCATAGGAAAAATGCAAATTGACGTTTCAGTTGGAACAAGGTCAAACATCGTAGATAAATAATTCCTATATTCTTACCGCTGCGCGTTCTAAAGCTATTTTTCAAGTGGCGCGGGCCATGCATCAGAGCCAAACCGCGGCAGCGGTCATTAATCAATTTCAATTTAAATGCTCCTTAATTGCATATGTTCATTCTCTTCGCTGAAACTCATTGCTGGAAAATTTCTCGGCTTCGATAAACGATATTCGTCCACCAGAATCTTGTATCTTTTATTTTTCGAACGACACTCACGGTTAATTGACCGCCTTATCATCGACACCCTTTCTAATCTACTCACGACAATTAATAGAAAAGGTGCAGAATGTAACGAAAGCCGGTGATAAATCGATTGCATGACATACTGATGTCCCTTAAATTAATTAGGTAACCTGGACAGGACGGACTGCATGCCACAATGTTAGCTCGAAAGAAGTCGTTCCGGTTGTTAGACTTGTTTTTCTTTATCAATATTAATATCTGACCATTGAGATCACGGTGTAAGATCAACCGTTATCTATCACGTAATCGCGCACAAGGACGCTACACACGCGGCGAAACAAGCTCAAGTGACTTGCGACTATCGCGGAAATTGGTTTGGCTGCATCTACGCCTATGCCGAGAAGCTCTCACGGCTTGGCTTTTTGCCCGGTTTCATTTTACGCCAAGTCCGACGTTTGTTGTTATTACTTATATGACGTGTGTGAACATCATGACATGGACTAGAGACAATTGATTTTTTATGACCTCTCGTGGAGCTCGCGACTGCAACTGACGCAACCGAGTACCGGAAAACTTAGTACAAATGAATTCGCATAAAATTAAACATTTGCATAACGGATTTCCAATGTGAAATATAAAAACATGCGCATTTGTTCTAAAGTCTAGCCGGTAGGAGATGAATAAAAGAAAATACAGTTGGAGGACTAAGTGGTGATATAATGGATACTTATATAATTAAATGATGAATCGTGACAATTTCCTCGCGCACAATCGCGTGATTTTGACGTTATTAACGAACCGAGCTATTAAGTCCTGATAACTCTTAGATGTGTTCTAGGAGCGCTCTCAATTTCATCGTTCTCGATGCTTTCCATTCAGCTATACATATGTGCACGTAATTAAGATAACTATCGAACATCGTGCAGCCTTCGGATTATCATGGACAGTAATCGTAATATCTTTCAGAGACTTAATTATCGTCTATTTAGGATTTAATTCGCCGACGCTTATCTATGACGCTCCGCCGTTTGAAACACTATTTCTTAAACAATTATGTTACATCGTCGCGTAATAGCATATGTTTCTATGCCGGATACTTCCTCGTTGCTTAATTAAAACCACGCCTTTATTTACACAAGGAGCAATCGTGGCCGGTGTAAGCCCGGTGGTACCGTATTCCAGTAACCGACCTCCGCGATACATGGATCGATACCGGATACGCCGTGAACCTATCCGTCGATCTCGATCGTGCCGGATCGGCACGATGTAGCAAGCGTTCGTTGCTGAGAGTTTTAATCCTTGCCCTCTAATTCGTAATGCTGAAGTTCGTTCGTGCTCGTTTCTTTTTACCTCGAAAAGGATAAACTTATCTATCTTGTTTTGTGCATACGCGCGAAACCAATCTAACCTTGTGGCTTGCAAGTAAACGGAAAGTAATCAACGGGCTTTGATCCGTAATCGATCTTAAGAAATGGGAGCAACTACAGGTTTATTTGAACAATGCAAAATCCGTGCACTCGCATTTTAAATCTCGGTAACGTTATCGGGCGAAGATTTACAGCAGAGTTTCTACGTGAAAGGATTCAAATCTGGGATTTATTCTTGTTGGAAAACCGTGGATCCCGAGTGCTCATTCCCAACTGCAACGAAAAGAAAGATTGATGGCCTTCTCTTACTCCTCTCCCTGTTCCCCCATAGAAAGTTTAGTAAAATGGAGAAAAGAGACGTTTGTGGATGCAGAAACATGAGCGAAGATTGGATTTTTAAACGAGCCTCGCCGTTGTTGAATTAATGAAGCATGCGTATGGAGATTCGAGTGTAAGACGCAAAAAGAGAGAAACCCGACGTTATATATTTTATTGTGCAATAAACACATTTCATTTTGCCGCTTCTTCAAAATTATTATCTAAATGCTCCATAATTACGTACAAATTAACGCTCTCATTAAAAAGAATGAAAGAAAAAACGGGACAGATAGTAGTAGAGAGAATTGAATTGCAGGACGCGTTTAAGGCAACTCTCAGAAAAAGCGAGTAACGATTGTTTCTTTTGTTGAGCGGCGCAATTCCACGCGCAATTAACCAACACGCGGTGGAAGAAATTGCAGGCATTGTGCGCTCGTCATTTTAAGAGTAAACGCAGAACCTGGCTGAGAATTACACTCATTCGCAGTGAAATTAATTTGGAAGCAGGCCGTAAAAAGATGCCTCGATTTCGCTTTGGACTTTATCCGGCAATGATAAAATATCTTAATTCGGGACAGGAGAAACTGTTGGTCGCGTACGCGTAAGCCACAAACGGCAAGCAGCTCTACTTACGCCTCCCTTTATACTCCTATGCTAATCGTTATTATGGCAGGTAGTTGCATAACTGCAATTACCGTGCCGCGAGGAACAACGTTTCTTTTGCTCGCGTTGCATAGTCGCACGCGATCTTTTGTTGTTTCAACTAAGGTCTGCGAACCTCCGCGTGTGGTATCAGGCACGTTTTCTAAAACTTCTCTTTTTTCTTTGTCTCTTTCGAAGAACGTCGCACGATCGTTCTCAACGTGTTGGAAATTTCACGTATCCACGATACAGGCTCCGTTCTCAACCGCCTTTATGATTGTCAGAGCAATTCGTTCATAACAGTTCTCTATTCAGTTGGCTGTAGCCGCGTATTGTTAGACGATTGCGCCTTTCGAAAGCGATTTTTCAGTGGACCGTGCCGAGCGATCGTTTACGATACAATTGTTCGAAGCCAAATATCCGCGACTAATCGAACTATGCCATCGTTGCAATTTATAATGTAAAGAGGTCATCCATAAGCCAAATGATTCTCAATTCTTCAAGAATTCTTGTGTTTATCGATTAATCCGTTTGGCATTCTGACAAATGTCTCATTCGACTAAACTGCCCGACTTTGTTCACAGAAAGTGTACAGTGTATATAGATGTATTTTCTAGTTATTGTTAGGGAGATTGATTATTAAATTTTGAATTTTTATTTTCAGGGCGCCAGGTTCCGGGATACCTCGCAACAAATCCACAAGCAATGGCAGGCAGATTCGGCCCGAGCATTTCCGACAGTTGGCACCGTCACCACGGGTTCGGTCTCGCCGACATCAGGCGATATGTCAACCCCAAATTCGACGCCCAGTCCAAGTCCTAGTCCCACCAACAGTCAACAAGTCACGGTAAGTAACTCTGACCCTTCCTGTTCCCCAAACCGTTCTAAAGATCGCCTTTCTGGAATTACTGAACGTGAACAGTGATTTAGAAAAGTATAAACTTAATTCCAGCTTACAATTAAAGTTTTAAAGAATATGTCGAATTCATATTGAAATTACCTGAGCAACAGTAAATCCTTTTAATGAATCCTGAGTACTATGGAAAAAATACTTTTACATTTACAATCGTTGTTCAATCGCGGAACTACAATTCCTATATATAATATAATCTATATAAAAATAACAAGGAGAGGGGTATAAAATCGGTACTGCACACAAAGTTTAGGGCACAGACAGATATAAAGTTTTAGATGATTCGACGAGAACAAGTTGTAGACTTTCGGTGCACTGAAAACTTGAGTTCTCGCTCGGAACCAATAAGGTTTTATGTGCCCTATATACAAGGAATAGGGGGATCTCGATATTGTAGAACCCTTTCGGTTGTGAATCTCAGGGATAGCGACGAAAGGTAGATATAGGAACAGCGAATATCTTCTAAAACTCCCCTGAGATATATCAACCGACAGCAGGGATTCTCCCACACTTGTAAGAATAGCGTTGAGTTAGCACTTCCGTGCATTGTACTGGGTGTATCATGAATCGATAGACATTAATCGTGCAGTACATCAAAATCTACTGAATTGTGGAAAATCGTGAAACATCGTTATGACTTGTAATCGTTCCGATTTACCAATTTCATTTGTTCATCAGTACTTTATTGGAAAAGATACAATGTCCATTTTATGATTCTAATAATTATTTGTAATCAAACCCAACGATGAGATATTACATAAGCCAAAATTAAATATGAATCGACACGAACGTCCAATAATAGAAATACAGCTGTACCTATTTCAGCGTTTGTCTAATCTATATTTCTTAAAGTGAAACGTAGAATTAGTTTAGTGTCTTAGAATTTCGACTTGAAGGTCTAATTGTCTCAACTGTGAATTTGTCAAGAATTTATATAAACGCACTGCACACCTTATATATTCGAAGAATACATACAGCCGATGTATACATCACTAGCAGTGTTTGAATGCGTACATTCAATTGTATTGGTTCACAATTTGGGGTGAGGCAAGCCCTCGCTGCAGTATTAGATGTATTGTATCCTCGTGCTTGAACAAAATTTCATTCTAGGTCAGCAGGGCTTAATATATTCTCCTGCATTGCGATTGTAGTATTGTAAATTAAATTGTGTGATAGATTAATGTTTGACATATTGTATATGACTGTTTATTAACAGATACAACTATGTACATGGTCACAAATGTGTTCAATTATTGATTGGTACTGGACATTATAATATTCAGATGAATTAGTTGAAATTTTACCAAGAGATACAGAATGTTAACACGTTACAAAATCCATACACTACACCATAATACTGCTATATTTATATTAAAATAAATTACAGTCTTTATACTTACAATTAGGTAACAACACAAAATATTCAATAACTAAACACTGAACTATCTATTTTACAAATCGAAGATAGGCCCAATCGTGATGCAATCGTTCGACATAATCTTATTTTTTATACTACGGGGATCATCCTCGGTTACGCTACAAGATAGACACCGCACGCCAACGTTTGTTTAACACTAGCTTTTACGTTTCTGAAGAATCAACGATCCTGTCCTTATTTTTTGTTGGGTTGACCCAATTAGCAATTAACAGACGGACAGTAGATTATTATCATTGCCACGAATTCGGTGGTCGACAATGGAAATAGAAGTGGAGCTTGATTGTATATACACGGTGGCGTCGATTAAACGACGCTGCACTTCCAATCGAACATCCAATTGGTGTAAAGTCCAAATGGATTATCGACGGTCGTTCAATTGCACGCACACAATTGCAGCTCGACATTATTATCGTATTAATGTCGATTAGTCGACGTTTCGTGCGGGCCATGACGTCTAAAACGGTGTCAAAACATTATAGCTGTGTAATATCCGCTCGATTACTCCCAATTAACAGTGTATCATGATTAATGTCTGCCTTATGAATAATTTCAGTTATGAAACTCTGAAGACAAGTAGGTGTGTAATTTCCTAAATCTCTAATTGTTATATAATATATAAAATCCCATTTATACAAACACATAAACGTAGTGTTTTAGAATATATTTGCAATATATTTTTACCCCTTCGTTTAACACCTGTTAGAAGTATTGTTAGAACCGAGTACGTGCCATAAATTACTTTATCTTCAATGTGATTAATACTAATTGATTATATAACAAGAATTAACGGATGAATTCTGAGAATTTAAAACTAAAGATTAACTGACTGTCTATAAAAAGCCAATTTTTCAAAACCAAACCTATGCCGTATGCATGATCGTTCTTCATGAATAAACGAAACTCAACGTTGGTTACGTATACGATACGGCAAGGGCAATCGGTCGCATTAGCGATTCTGTCTCATTAGCATCAGAAATCAGGCCGTCGCGTCGTCGACCGATTTCGTCAGAGTCTTCGGCATGCAAAGAAGTTGTACACTACCCCTACGCGACTTAAGCGAGTTCCACGATTCGTTTGCGAGGCTTCACCGACACACAGGCGAGAAGAGCTCGTCTTACCGGGTCATGATTAATCCTTAAACGCTTTTTACACGGCGCATTACCCGGCCGCTTTCGTCGCGGCACAAGTTAATTAACCCAACGGGAGTTCTCCGCGCGAACGGTAGAAAACGAATGACCGCTCGGATCTTTCGATAATTAACGTCTTAATCGAGCCGATCGCAATTGCTAGCACTGTATCACTCCCACGGTATCGTCCCGAGGATCTAACGATGCAAAACTCTGATAAAAAGAGTCTTGGAAAGGAGTAAGCCGATGAAATCCCTGGGTTCAGCTACTCGCGAAGTGTTGAGAGATCGCTGGTTTTGGTCGACTTGGAAATCGGTTACCGTTTATGGTAATGCCAAGGGGAACAAGAAAACGGGAAGCACGAGGTCAAGAGGGCTCGAGTTGCTGAAAAAAGAGAGGTAGCAGGTCCTTGAGAATCCTGCAGCTGCCAGTCGTCATCGGTTCATTGAACGCAGGGAACCGCCGCTGTATGCCGCGCAGCGCGTATTCTACATCCTGAATGTTTTTAGTACCTTCCGAGGGTTAAAAAATAGGGTTCAGGTCGTTAAAGTGTTGACAGGACACACTCGTTGTTTGACAGCTGGGTGCACGCTCGTTGTTTTTCACTTGCCCCTTTTCTTTGTATTGTTTGAAAAGCCGCGAGATCTCAGTAATGATCGTTCGACGAGTTGTTGAGTGATAGATCATTTGTAGATAATTATACACGTGGGTGATCTTGTCAAACAAAAATAAAGAAATCTGACATTAGCATCGCATGTATAAGAGGATGAGAATGTATCTTTTATTTTTGGATGCACTTTTACAAGCTCATATTTTTTAAATTTGCGATCTGTTACTTTTGTAATTTTTAGAATTGAACTTCTGAAATCGATACATGAAAATTAGGCAAACCATTTTAATCGTATTAGACGAAATGGGGGTAACTTTGTTCCTTCTAATGCGCAACCCTCTCGGAATTTTCGATGCAATTAATCTCACGTTGTCTCGTGTACTACCAACGGATGTACGAATTTGCGCCGTGGCGGTAGATACGTGCCACGGCATTGGAGTTGTTGCATCACGCCGAGCATTAATCTTATTTAACTTAATTGTACGGGTTGCTTTGTTAGGAGGACATTCCGCAAACATGCAACGAAATGCTGTTCGCACCCGCGAAAATGTGGTTCTCTTCCTAACAGAATTGTGATATCAATTATCGAAAATAATTAAAATTCTAATATACTTTATACATTGTTACATATGTCACAGTTAATGAAGTTAGAATATGAACTATACTTAAAAGAAAAATTAGAGATCCAATGTTTGTTTCTAATTCTACGATGGTGTAAAATAGTAGCCCAAACTTTGGACACTTCTGTGCGTAAAACAATATACAATCAGGGTAATCCTCCGCGCAGTATCCAGTTATAAAAACACTGGGTACTCTTTAAAGTGCATAACCGGGTCTGTTCAGGAGCTGTCCGTGCCTTCAAAAGGCATGTCCCAAGCAGCACTATTTTCTTTTCACCACCGAGACGGGAGCGAGTTGCATCTGCTATCGCTACGGGTAAACGGAACATGAATTTATTTATGGTCCGGAAAGGGTAGCTGGGTTCGATCTTTGGCGACGGATGCGGAAAAGGGAAGCAACCACTTCCACGCCAGGCGCAAACTGTAATCTCGTCTGAGGCGTTCCTTGTATTATCGTCTACCTAAGTTCCGATTAAATTTAGACATATGCACACACCCAGTTACTATGTTTCACTGGAAGCGCAGCCACCAGTCGTTCCAATGGAATTTACGTGAAACTTGTCTGGATATTGTCAAAGGGGTCGTAGTAATCCACAGGAATTGGGCGAAGTCCAACAAATTAGAAATCAAGATCAATCCTTCGAGTGATCATTCTTTCGATTTAATTAAAATAATGTCTCCATTAATCTCGAAGGATTTTCCTGTGTTTTCATTGAATATTTAGTCAAAAATAGGGCTTAGATTATTTTTAATGTCAGTTCTTGTTTTCATAGTTTACATTTTATCCCCCGATTTATTACTTTAAAACTTATTTTAAGATATTAATTTAGTGACTGACGTACTTCAATTATTACTTCTTTCTCTAACACGTTCTTCAGCTTTCAGTTTATAGAATCTTCAAATCGAATGCATTCGCATCATTTCTCAAGCAGCAGGAAAAACGTTTTCAAATATGTAGAACATCAAACATTTGCTTTTTGTATCCGACTTCTGGAGTCGGAAATTCGCAACGATTCGTAGAAGATTCATTTGTCGTTCACACATCGACCAATGGGATCTTTCTCCGTGAACGATTTGTCACCTTGTGAGATATATCGTTTGGCTAGATCCTCACTCAAGGGTTCACTCACTCCAACCCCCGTCGACCAGTCCACTATAGAAACTCGATGCACCGAAAGGGATGGCTGCGAGCGTTTCTAAGTGCATCGAAATTTATGAACCGGCGTCTCTGCGTCCCATCGCAATGCAGCGCCGCAGGTACTCAAATCCGGCGAACGATTAATGTTTCGTTCCTCGACAGAATTTCGCGTCGTAAGCATGAAAAATGTTTCAGTATCGTTCTACCACTTTTTAAACGAGTAAAACGAAGTGCATTACGCTACTTGGAAAATCGTTATACACTTGTTTGACTGATTTAATTGAAAGTCGTTTATGTAATTTAAAAGATGAAGTCAAAAGAATTCATTCGTTAATTACTTAGAAATACTAAATTTCTAATATCTTTTTCTACTTAAGTAACATTGAAATTCGTCTGTATTCGTCTAATCACAATGAGGAATGGCGAACAAAAGAAATTCTTCTTTTTTTAATCGGACTCTCATCCTCACCACGTACTCTCGTTTATCGATTGTTTCTCGCCCGGGAAACTGCGTGGGTGGGTGAAACACGAGCACGAGTGCGTGCGTTTTTTCGTACAACCACAATTATTATTGTTATCGATACGAGCAAACGGTGATCGAGTTCTATTAATACAATACCGGGAGGAGAAATGGGTTGGAAGTGTCGCACGGTGTTATTACTGTAACGTTTTCGGTTCTTGTTCCCCCATTGTTGAGCGCTGCTTTAACCCTTCAATTGTGAAACATTCAACGGGCATCTGGAACAAACGCGGTTAACTTGATACTGTTTAGAACTGCAATAAATGGAATTCCGAAAATTCAAGTCTAGTATCTGTTTGTTGTACCTATACGAAAATGTAGTTCACCGTTTGTGTTGTACTTNGTATTCGTCTAATCACAATGAGGAATGGCGAACAAAAGAAATTCTTCTTTTTTTAATCGGACTCTCATCCTCACCACGTACTCTCGTTTATCGATTGTTTCTCGCCCGGGAAACTGCGTGGGTGGGTGAAACACGAGCACGAGTGCGTGCGTTTTTTCGTACAACCACAATTATTATTGTTATCGATACGAGCAAACGGTGATCGAGTTCTATTAATACAATACCGGGAGGAGAAATGGGTTGGAAGTGTCGCACGGTGTTATTACTGTAACGTTTTCGGTTCTTGTTCCCCCATTGTTGAGCGCTGCTTTAACCCTTCAATTGTGAAACATTCAACGGGCATCTGGAACAAACGCGGTTAACTTGATACTGTTTAGAACTGCAATAAATGGAATTCCGAAAATTCAAGTCTAGTATCTGTTTGTTGTACCTATACGAAAATGTAGTTCACCGTTTGTGTTGTACTTCGTGTAAAAAAAAAACTTTTATGCAACTAAATTTTATTTCCTCCACTTTTTTATTAATTGCATTACAAATACTTTTATAAATATTGTAAGTAATAAAATATACGATAACTACAAAAATGAATGGAGGAGATAAAAATGCAATGTTCAAGAATTCGCTCATCTATTCCAAGAAATTAAAAGAGCCAGTTTAATTAAAAATGCGAAATTAATTTCTGACCTTCACTGATTCGAAGCCTTAAAAGTAGTAGTGATTTGCGAGGATGACTCTCGAAACGGAGGAACCGTGGCGCGTCGCGATAAAGACCAGTTTTCGTGAATTAACGAAGGCGCCGTTGATCAATTGCGTCCAATCAGAATGCGATCGAGGATCAAGGACGATGATAATGAAACGACACAGTAAGATACGTGGAAGGATCGAAGCGGATCGAGACAAATGATCCGTGGCTAAACGAACCGGTTTCGTACCGATAAAAGTGACGAAGATGGTCGGAATTGAATTTGTATTTATAATCGTCCACGATATGCGAGAAGGAATATTAATTGAGAATCCTGACTACGGCTTCTTTTTTTTTTATCCATTTCTTGTGATAATCTCGTTCTCCGTCCCTCTCCAATTTGCATACTGTCGCAACGCTAATAAGTGATGTGCTGAACGAATGCTTCAGATTTCTTGCATTTCCATTCCGATTGGATAAGTTATGACGATGTTCTCTCGCCGTGAATATTCTGTAAAATTTCGACGCGATTCCAGACGATGGGATTGGCGCCGCGTAGATCATTTAGTCGATTTTAGTTAAAGCACATAGCGTTATGCAATTACGTAGGATGAAATAAATTTCAGCATTACATCAAGGATTAAATAAGTTTTATAGACGGTGAAATTGGTTTGGAATGTAAAGTAGTAAAATTCAAGGTGGATTTGGTTTAGCTGACTGTCGAGCTATTAACCAGAACTGTGCTCCGCAGCTATATATGAATGAAAATGAAGAGATGGACAAGTTAGAGAATACGATAACAAGAAAGTCTTTCGCTGGTCAATTTGGTTATCATCGCGGGCTACGAAAGATACGAAGAAATACGAGTTTGGCGGAGGTGGAAAAAGACCAAAGGAGAAAGAAATGAAGAACAAGGAGAGACCAAGCGTGGTCTTGGGGCGCCTTCGTTGCGCTGGGGCACCGCGCAAGCGCATTCCGTCTACCTAAACCTATACGTTCGGTGCGTGATCCGAAAGACACGAGCTCCATTCGAGTTCCGTCGGCTTTTGCCATCGAACGCGCGGCGGCTTTTCGCCGTCTCCCCCGTTTTCGTGTACGCATTTTTAACAAAACTTAATAAATCACTGTAACATCGTTAAGGAAACAACGAAATATTTTTATATGACTGAAACGAGGAAAATGTCGCGCAGATTCACCAGTTTAAATTTATATATTTGACTTTGAAGAAGAGGGAACGATGATCCTGTCGAGAGTAGGAGTGTAATAGAAAATGTGATCCTGATGCATCCGGTTAAGTTCGAAGTGCGTTCGAAATTGATCACCGGTCAATCCTCTCGCGGTTGACAGCTGTCAACATGCTGTCCACCGTCCAGTGTAACGGAGACGTGCACCAGCAACGGAACTATCACGTCGCGTACATGGTGAGTTTTTTTTTACCATGGTTCGACGAGAATTTCGCCGGTCGGCGCTCGGCTTGAAAAGTTGATCGATGCGACGACACAGCGAACGATGGGGTAATTAACGGCGCGAAGGCTCTCCCGATGAGCTATCCGCGGAATGATCTAAGTGAAACGGATGTAACGTTATTCCAAGAAATTCCTCTGTCATGTAACATGCCTGAAATAGAGATTACTTCAATAAACAAGCGACGACACGACACGGGCATGCAGATATTCTCAACATCCGATCGAACCTGAGAAATACATGTGCAAAAATAGAGGAACTGTGAAATTTCTTTTCATAGAACCAATCATCATTTCCAACAGTTTCATTTATATCTTATTATGCTTATAGCAGGGTAATCGGTATCTTGTGAGATTAGACTCTAAGTCTTTAAAACTGTCAACCAATCACATGAGTATCAGCTTGGATGCGCTTTCTCAAAACTTTTTCCACGGTACTTATGGGCGTGTAAACATTTATATATCCATTTGGTATGAAATTATCTGCAGACCATCGGTAACGCATTTGTCACACAAGATACCATACGTATTGACAGTAAGCAGATATAAAATAAAAATAACAATTTTATCATATCGAATATTTTAAACGCAAATTTACACTATTGCTTCGTTAATTCATTACCTTATGATAAAGTATTACACATAATAATTCAATCATTACATACGTATATTTTAACTAACGGCAGAACACTTGAGAACACTGATCCAAATTGTTTCCGTAAAGCACACTTCCTCGCGCGATTCGCAAATATGTATCGAACACATATCGCGACCTCCTGGCGCCTTGCGTCATTTGTCTATTCTCGATTCAGCGTTATCGCTGCAAATGCGTTTACCCGGCTGTCGCGGAATTTTCAACCGGCCACGAGTTTTCACACATGAAAAGAAAAGCCGTGGGAACGTCTGTCATTCGAAAGACTTCATTTTTGCCTATAATTCGCACAGTCGAATATGTTTTCTATCCAAGTTTTTAAACATTGCGAATTATCACAATACTAGTTCGAAAACTTTTTATTATGAACATTAAGCTTCATCTTCCAATTTTTATATATGGTCTGATCAATTATATTATACTGTTCTATCTTCAAATAATAGATGATAAGTTGGCATTACTGCTTCAGTTTTTTATTAGAGGACGATTTAAACGTGAGCACGAATACTGAAAGAAGAATCGCAACCTCAATATTTTCCTTTGAACCTTTTGTATTAGACGCAATGCGCTGCAAGTGTATTTCATAATTCGCGTCAAACAGTATGATCGGTTCCATTTCCGGGAAAACTTCATCCCGGCCCGCATTGAAGAAACGCAAGTTTCTACCTGGAAGTTGCCCGGGAGTCCCGGCGCGGTGCAAAAGCGGCCGACTAACAATTAACTGAATGAGGAACGTGTCGGCGGTGGCGGCGGCGCAAGATAGTTACAAGTTTCTCGAACAAATTAAGCGACCGGTGCTCCCCGGACTGGCCGCGGTGAAACTCGCGGCAGAAACCGCGTTACAGAAAGTAAATTATAACTTGCCAGGCTCGGTTAAATTGAATTGCGCGAGGGGCTGTCAGTGATTCGAATCGCTGTTAAACATTCTGTAATTTAAAGTATACCCTGCATTAGCGAGCGTTAAGCTTAATCGAGGCGTGGCGGGTATTCGTGGTTGATAATCGAAACGGGAAGGAGCGGGCAGTAAGGAAAAGGGCAAACGGGATCGACGGTGCCGCACCTCGATCGATTAATCGATTGCCCGGTTGTATCTTGTATCCGAGTCGTTGATTTCGTGGCTCGCGCGTTTCTTGACGCGTCACGTCGAAACCGCCGCGCCGCGAGGGAAATGCGAGAATCAGGAAGCGTTCGTCGTTCGTTGTCACTAAGTTTTGTACAGCTAGGCGTCGAGTAACTCTTTCACGGAAGTACACGTGTATCGTGCGAGCGCGTAATCCGAGATCAGAGCGTGCGACCGCTCGGAGGACGGAATGCGATGGAAATAATCTTTCACACCCGCCTAGACGGGCTAGATTAGCAAGATAATAGGGAAACCGTGGTTTCAGTGTCGGTGCAATGAATTTTCCAAACGAACACGGCTTACCCGATTCCCTCCCTCGGCTTCATTATTAATAGGTGGGGTGGAGACAAGTTAACTACACGGAATAAGACTGTAATCTTTAATTACGATTATGCGAGTTAGTAGCTTTGCACTAGTTTTAACCACGTTAGAATTTCGTGTTCGTACTTCGTGGTACTTGCGCAGGATTTAACGTCGTCATGAATGAAAGATGAAGTATGAAGGTAGAAGTGAAAATGAATGAAGCAATCTTGAATCTGGTGCACTTATACATATAAGAATATAAGAAACACGTGTCCTCTCGATTTGTTTGTGCCCACTCGAAAAATTTACGGGCGCAAACATTTCGTCGGCGTCTTTCATTAATGACACTCGAAAGAATAAGTCAAATGAAGAACTGCGCCGACGAGTGTATTTAAATATGAAGTGGACACGACGAGATGGTGGTACCTAGTCGAAGAACTGTGTAGGAGGAGCGGGGGACAACCGTTTCTCGGGATCGCGGAGGCGTTTATTTACGGTCGCGAACGACAAGTTGTCGCCGGCCTGCTAATTGATGACCCGGGATGGACGAAAAGGAAAACGGAGGCAGATCGCGAGCGATTTGCCTCCATTTGTTTAGCGAGGCGTGTACGCGCCTAATGTCGCAGCCGATTACTATACTGTAACAGACAGAATCGAGAAAACCAGTTTAGCACGTGTATGGTCTTGTTCGCGGAGATACCAGTTCGTTCAGTGCCTCAAGTTCATCGACTTGACGCGGCGACGTATCTGGTTCCCAATCCATGCACGCGATACGCGATTTTATTGCATTTATTTGCGCTTGAAACTTGATTCAATAACGTTGAGAATCTTCGACCCTTCAGTCGAGTTTCAACCCAGCCGCGTTTTCGTGAAGGGAAATTCATCAATGCGTCCAGTTTGCCGATGTTGCTTCCTAGTACAGGATTGCATGCATGTATCGTATTGTGCACGAGGAACTTCTCATTGAAACTATCATCATACACTTTGTATATCAGGAAGTTGATAACGGGTGTTATTCAAAGAGGAGCGGACGCTTTGTCGACGGCGATTTTTCTTCGTCGCCAATCACCGCTCCATTGCCGTCTGCAGCTCGAGACTGTTTATCACTTTGTTAGTCATAACCCGAATGAAGTAGAGGCACATCGTTAGAAAATATTCCTTAATTACTTGTCCGTAGCTGCAGTTGACACTTTTTTGTCTCGAATCCTCGAGATTTATTAGGTATTCAAATCGCACGAAGTAAGCGAGCTCTGCATATCGTTTCAGTAGATTACGACGAGTTACTTCTACACATACTGGACGTGTCATGCAATCGAGTTCGTTTTACTTTTTGTCTACACCAGATGCCATATTAATTCGTACAATCTAACCCCTGATTTTTAATCACTCCCGGAGTATATTTCCGTGCTCGGCTGGTAGCGACGTCGCGTGAACCACGAGTCGTGAATTAACCAGTGTAGCAACTATTGTTGACACAGTTGCTGGCGCGAATTTAATAAATCACCGTCAAAACGCTACCGTGACCGGGTTGATTTATCGACGGAGTTTAGTTTCCATTTTAAAGAGCACGAGGCGTGATTCAAAAAAAATTTGTATTTGGTGAGATTAATTTGTTATACAATACATCGCTTGAACTTTTTCATCAAAACTGGTATAAAGAGCTTAGCGAAGAAATAGGATATTTTTTAAAATATCAATTAATCCATTTGTATGATTATTTTGGAATTCATTTATTCAGTCATCAAAAAAACATTCAGGAATTTATTTACATAGAGTAAAAGATTCTTCAGAATTTCCTAAAATGCCTGAAAGTCGTATGACCGCTTTTTACTGTTCGTGATCCAATCGAACGTGAACGAAATATGTGAATACATTGTGATCAAGTCCACGACGTAACATCCATCTGGATGGAGTCTTCAAGGCGCAACTTAATAAAGAAGCTCCTTCTTATTTTACTTGCTTCCTCCGAGACCACAGAGAAAACGGGATGAGAAAAAAGTTTTCGATAGCTGGCGCGAGTCCAACAACAGAATCAAAACCGGCATCACGGAGGATCCGGTCACGGCTATCCAGTTGACTAGCTATGAACTTTTCGCAGAGTCCCGTTGCCTCTGTCCAGTTTCGAGTAATCTAATCTAAAATCTTGGAAATCATTTATTCGAAACCTCTTCCGCGGTCTGATTTCCCTTGTCAGATGTTCCAATTTTTCTCAGAGAATCAACCTAGCCGGATACTTCGCTTTGACAATGCCTTAATCTCATAATGGATAGAACAGTTGACATTTGTTCATGGATCAACAAAATAGAAAGTGCAATTACAAGAAGTAATTGAAGCGAATGCTCGGAGCAGTGTTCATATTACTTCAATAAAGAGAGGACAAAGGTTTTAATACGCAACGAGTAACATACTAGCTCTAACCAATTAAGGGATCATGTTTCTAAACAATTCAAGAAAATAACCTGAAGTACTTTAGACGTTTACTAAAAGTAGTTAATTCATAACGGGTGATTCTAATCTACGACACAACATTGCATGCTAACAAGTTTGTAGTCGCCCCGAATTTACGATGTTCTAAAAGATCACAACAATCTTTTTTGCTTTAACGAGACATGAAAGACAGACGAATAAAGTAATTTGTCACAAGTACATAAATTCCTAAGACGGTGCCGGCGGTATCCGTAGGCGAGACCAAGAAGGAGGGTAGAACCGGCTGGTTCGCGCTAGGGATCACGGGTCAAAGATAAAGAAGAGCTTTACAGATAAAGCGCGTGCTTCCTTCGCGCTCGCTCACGATCTCTATCGAGCATTATATTGCGCTTACGATGATCGTAAGTTCACGTAAACTCGCTACAAAAGAAGGGAGAAAAGAATGAGGAATTGCTTGCCTTTCACGCGCAGTTGCATGCCACGCGTGAATCGCGAAAGCGATATTTATAAATGGTGAACGGAGAAGATTGTCACTTCCTGTGCGGTCGTAGGAGAACTCGTCATGAGTGATCTAGGAGAGAAAAAGTGTTCATCAGTCCGCGTAAAAAAACTGATGTTACGTAACTATTACTCATTAGGAGCACGGCTGCACGTATTCACCGTGCGAAGCTTCCTGTCACGAGTCAAGGATGCTGAAACTATCGTTTCCTTCATGTGCTTTAAATAGCAACGGCAATCGATAACTAGCGTACGCCTTTTTTCCTGCTTTCAACTCTTACTGAATTTTCGAATTCGTTCAATTGCTACAAACCGGAGTTTTTTTGAAGATCAAATCTTGTAGAATATTAAATATAAAATATTTAATTATTATTAAATAATATCTCTCGTGTTTTATATTCTCAAAGCAGTATTGAATTACAAACATCCAATTTCACACAACTTGACAATCCTTGAATATCCAAACAGCCAGGTCGGCTTCCATCGTATAATTCCGCATTTTTATTCATTAATGTAACACGACGTGATTCCGATCGTCAATGTTATTCCAACTTTTTGCTCCCAACTCTTTTACTTACCGCACGACGCGGTCACGATTGTATCGAAGCGAGCGAGCGGTGATTCCTCCTGCTGCAGCTGTGCTCTCGCTGACTGCTCGACGTGATTCTCAATCGTAATGCGCGGTTTGTTACAGGGCATAAGTCAATTAAGTCGGTATTAGCCAATCCGATGCTTCTGTTCGCCAGCTTGTCTGCTCGTTGATCGTTTCGTTGGTTTCGTTGCACGCGATACGAAGAGGCAAAGTGTCACGTCTATATTTAACGTATTCTTCTATAATCGCAATTCCAAGTACGACTTTCTAGATATTCGATAACCACGCCGATCGCAACGAATTCTATTTTCATTCTTCCACACATGTTATTCCACGTTCTTCCCTTGCGTCATCAAAATGTACGATCACCTGTCACGACTACCTAATCAGAATATTTAGATTATGTCAGTTCGCAACTGAAAAACATGCGTAAGCCGTGAAAAAGGTTCACGAGTCATACCTTTTAAATGTCGTACACGTAACGCTGTATCACACGTGACTAAAATTCAATTTCACGCGTTGACGCGGTTAATTAGCATCACAGAAGGTCGAACGTCGTCGCGGAGAGACGGCCGGGACATTCGACTTTCACATGCGAATTAACTGGAGCGAGTTTGCATTTTTTAAAGTTTCATCTGTTTCCAAGGTAGCAAAAACTGGGCTATGGTACGGCTTCCGATTCGAAACTCGAGCCGCCTGCGCCAGCTAAGCAATCCATTCGACTGGCGACGACGTTTTCTTTATTACCTATTCTTTGTATTAAAATGTCGTTCCTGTTAAAGCTTGCGGCTGTTCAACGCGAAATCCCGCAGCTAACCTTCTCTTTTTTATAAATCGCATTAAATCTCTCGCGTTTCGTTACAAATTTTCACAAGCGCGATGTTATACCGTTTTTAATTCACTTACCGTGTAACGAAACGTGTTTCCATGCAGTAATTTAAATTTAATCTCACTTAACTCCGGATATGGAAGATACAAAATATACTCCATTATAATGCAGTTACATATCTTTTTTATTACGATATATGGTACCTGTTACTGGAAATTTAGATATAAAATTGGTTACATGATTTACAGGTTCGTAAGCTTTAAAGGCTTACATATCTGGCAATGATACACAACCGAGTGTGTTTGTAGAATCTCGTGAAACGGGAGATAAAAATCGTTTATTTATCCCACGTCTGTCGGTATTTTCGTGGCTACCACTTAAATTATCGATACCGTGAATCTGAATTACTACATTTCGCATCTTTATTCGCGCCCGTTACCGAACAAGGACAGCCATCTATGTATTTATCCAGCCATCTAGTCCTGGTAAAACGTGTTCTACTCGCGAAGGCCTATGGGCTAGTTAAGTTGATTTATTGTCCCGTAAAATATTCTCCTTGTACGTTCTGTTCCAGCAGAAACAGACGGCGGCCAATTTAATTTCAATTCTCGTGGCTAAACGTCCTCGAGGTCGAGGAGAAAAACCGTTCCATTGTCTTGCGACAATGTCTTGTCTTACTTGCAAAGCTTAAAACGTTATTTAGTCGAAGTCGGAAGTATGAGGCTGGCTAGACAATTTAGTTGTTGCCTTTTTTATTGTCGCGTAATCGTTACGGGAACCATCCAGTTAGCTTTCAAGAGGAAAATTCTATTTTTATTGCTCATTTTAAATGCAGAGTGCGGTGGAATTTTAATGGAACCTACTGGATTTAAAACTGGCATTGATCTGTCGAACAAGAAATAGCGTGTAGACATACATGCATGACATTCCTAATTCGTTTCGGACAGTTAAAATAAACTGTGTTCATAGACGTCGGATGATATCGAACACTGAGGGGAATCTTTTTTTTAGAATGCCAATAAGAAATTTTTTAATAATATCTTCTACCTATTAAACCAAATATTTTTTGTACACCTCAAATATTTAGAATATGTATTTTGAAATCTCCATACGATGCACAAGGTAAAAGTAATTGCCAATTTAAAAATAGTGAATCATAAAATTTTCTGAATATACAGTATACGCTGCAACGCAGTTTATGTTTGCGTTGCCTAAGGGCATGCACGAAAGAGCAAGCATAGCGGTAGCAAAATTCTCTATATAAAACTAAAAAGAAGATAGAGAAAATCAAATGAGGTCATTGGAAAATAAGTTTTGATCCTTGTATGTCAGAACGCGAAAATGACTTTATCTTCTATTCAATTTAATATTGCCGTCATGAAATGAAAAGAGGTTCGAATAAAAGTTGTAAACTGTTTCCTGAATATCAAAGGGATCGCGCCCACGATCGCGAAAGGATCAGATTTCACGGGTATACGACAATTTCGCAGGGTAATTACATTTGCAGGGAGTGGCACTCGACCTACTCAAACTCTCGGCGTCCCTTTTTCCCTCTACCGCGCACGGGAAATTCGGCGCGTTCCCGTAGAATCCACCGCGGCGCGGCGCAGGAGCCAAGCCTGCGTGCGAACTTGCGATGCTGGATACCCGTCTCCATGGTTACGTGCCGCGTCTCTCCCTGTCCCCCGACAGCCCCGTGGATGTCCTCCGAAGCCGAGATGCAGGGTTTCATCCCTCTGTGCGGCCGCAGCGCCGGGGCGGCTCCCGTGCGGCGCAGACGTTCGTGCCGGTTAGCCCAGGTCGCGTGATCTCCTCTCGTCTACGAGCTTTCCTTCCTCATTTTTTGACTGGCCACTCGCGTGTCGCGTCTCGGCAGATGCGTCAGAGTAACAAGAAGGAATAGAAGAAAGATCTTCGAATAGTTACACGGGAATTTCTCCATGCGGGAAATAACAGTGACGGAAATAATAGACCGATGCTGTACACCTAAGAGTGGCTTGGTGACCTTGAGCTGCAGACAGGTGTGCAAGAGGCTGTGAAATAATATACGTCGACGATAGTATTTTTTTATATGGCCAATCGAATGATTCGGAGGATCGTGTGATGTGATCGAGGAGAAGTTCAATGCCTCGAGGTGAACCACGAGGCGTTAGCTGCTCGAGGAGATGAAACGAGCGCAAGGGGCGGAGATGCTGAAGAGACTTCAATTAGCACGAATAACAAGTTCCTATGTAGATACGTACACAGAGGGTGAAGAAACGAAATTAGTTACTCCCTCGCGGCAACAAACGAGGTGAAATGGAAACGCGTACAAAACGCGCTCGTCAGACGTCGAGAGATTAACGGCAAGATTTTCGTCGATGAATCATTGCCGAGGTTGGTGAAACTTGCGGTTTCCTAAGAAGAATAAGAGGAAGAAGAGAAAAAGGCGGTGCCCGATGTTGCGGAATAATTCCTAACGAGCACGTCACTTACAGCGTCGACGTACGATGTGACACGTGGTTCGGATTCCCATAATCCCGCTGACAGATATTAAAGAAATTCATTCATATATTATATATTTAATAAAAACTGTAGTAAACGTTAACAATATTCCAAATTGTGTTCCTGAATAACTTGTGATCACATTAGAGACAGATAAAATAACTTATAAAGAAAGTATATTATATATATGTCAATTGCGGTTTCTATTTGCGAATATATGGACGTATTCGAAAAATCATGACAAACTCGAACAGTAGCTCATTATCGCGAGCTTGGCTAAGAGCAAATTGCTGCCGCTGCGGTGACACGCGCCAGGACGCAGTGAATAATAACCTGGAGGAGAAGACGCCACTGCAGGATCAGACGGAGGTCCTTTTGCACCGCATCGCATTTACGGTTTGGCACACTGCCCTCCATATAGAGAGCGAGGTGCGTGGGAGTCGTTCGCACAGTTTTTATTACGTATTCTCGCCTCGGAAAAAAGAAATTCGTAAACCATTTTGAAATTTAATTGACGTCCCTGTGAGGCAGCGTTGGCCGTGAACCGCCGTATTTATTTTCGTTCACCAGCCATGATTTACACGAATCGAAACAACAGTAATCGATAATGTTTATTATGAAACGCTCCCGTCAGATTTAGCAGCAGCTGTTTTCAGCCGAACAATGGACGTAATTTACCTTTTGCATTTATTATCATTACTCGTCGCGCCAGGCAATTCACTTCCCTTCGCGAATCTTTTAACGTGCGCGAGTTGAAATATCTCTACCTACCGATTTTCTCCTTTTTTCTCTCCTTATTTATAAATTATGTAATTCACCAGAATCCTTTGTTTTTGTGTTGCAGCACAATGGGGGTTACGAAGCACAACCGAAGAATGTTAACACCATTTCGAGGAGCAAGCACCAACAGCAGGTAGCGTATAAACGTTCCTATTTTGTGGGCTATTACGTTAACGGAATTTAGATAGCAAAATTGGAGAGCTTATCTAAAAACAGGAGACGTATTACAAAAGGTGGCGAACTCTGTTGCCAACCACGTATCTTGCTATAAATCATGCGTATATCTACGTAGATTTCCAGTCTATATTTTTCCAACATGAAAATTGCACCCTCGTAACTCTTCCTCACGCGTGGGTCATAAATTATTCATCGGAATCTCAGTTACTAGGTCTGCTAATGAACCGATTCTAAATTTGCCCTGTTGAACGCGTCTTTGCACCTAACCGAGGTTGTACAATAAATTATCCAGCGCAATTCGTTGGAACGACTAACCCTTCCGGGGAGGCTGGAAAAGAAAGCGAAAATATGCTCGGCACGATCGTTATGCTAAGTGGTCTGCCACGTAGTGCGTGGTTTATCGTTCCTGATAAGCCGCGATTCGCGCCGTTCCCGAGCGAGCCCTCTCTAAATATTTAATATTACAACAAGCCGGCCGGCCATGATACGTACGAGGAAGCGGCGTCTTATTGGTCGGAACTCGATTGTATCAGGCGTACCTTCATTTATTCCGCGGAAAAACACGGTCGAACCCTATTTACATTCGAAACGGAGTTCGTCGTCGTCGCCGTCGTCGCCGTCACCGGCGAACAACCTTCTCCTTTCCCGTACACGTGTACCTGACACTGCTATTCACCGTCTTGCGAACGATCATTATGCAAAAGTGTGCATGGAGTTCAGCTCGCCCTCTACCCCTCAATGGTACAAGCAACGCGATTTACGTTACACCACGCGTATAATTCTACGATTTCTAAAGAAATTTTCACGACTTTTCCTTAATAAAGAATTTTACTAAAGTTCAAGTGTTTTAATCTCTTGAAAAAAAAAAATATAAATTTATTATTTCAAAATCATGAAAAACGTAATTCAGTGAGAAAACAAGGTGTCATTTTGATATTCGAGTGATCATTGCGTGGGAGGATTAGGAGTTGTCTTAGACAGAGAGAATGTAATACGAACCTTGTAAGTAGTTTCGAAGAAGGGTTTATGCTTCAGTAGGACGTTTTTAAATCGGAGCAGCGAACTGTCCAGCAGTTAGGCGTCTTCGACACATTAACGTCAACACCGTGGAAAATTATTTTCTGAAATGGCAGTAAGCTAGCGTATTGTACGAACTTAGGTATCAACCGATGTAGCAGGGAGATAATGCAAGTATATTGACGTCGGCCGTAATGTATTCGCGAAACCCTCATCCGCGCTCATACCGCTGCCGTTCTTGCGAAAATATACGTTTGCAGGAGCGTTGAATGTGAGATGCAGGAGAATTCTGACAATTGCTCGTAACCGGTTATTACCGATTGTCACGGAAAGTCGTTCTCCAATGGTAATCCCAGATAATGGCATGGAAATTTATTGTATATTTAATCTGTCATCTGCGTTTTTCTGAATATTTAATATCAAGCAGAAAATGTTGGAAATAACATAGAAACGTCCGTCTTTTTGAATATTTAATATCAAGCAGAAAATGTTGGAAATAACATAGAAACGTCCGCGTTTTCTTTTATCGACGGTGCACACATCTGAAGCTGGAAATAATCATAGATATAAAAGAATCGCACCAACACAATAATTTAGAGTTCCAATGGGTTTAGAGAGCGCACCCTTTGCGTCCTTCGCGTTGCATTTTGCTATCGATCGGATCACGATAGGGCATATTAGCTTAGCGGAGTGCACGTCCAAGCGGAAAGAAGTCGATAATGATAAAGCCCACTCTCGCTTGGCACTCTACTTCCAATTAGAAATTAGCCGACAGCAATTACGCGGATTAACGATAATTGACATTACCGGCGCGACGTCCCCTTCACGCCCCCGAATAATTGCTTCCTACCGATGTCGCATGGCATATACAGTTTATGACTGGCTTCCAGACCGCGTGCAGTTTTCGTCAAAGAGGAACGAGCCTGTGTCCAATCCTATCGTGTGAGGAGAAATCAGTTTGAAAATGATATGCGTGGCAGCAAATCTTTCCGCCTGCTTGTCATACATCCCTGAACCAATTTCCCAGAATGAAAACAAGCTATTTCAAATTCGCCGTTCGCGTTTGAAGTTACCATTCGTGTTTCTGCAACATTATCCGCTAAAAGTAAGAATCTGCTAATCGATGTTTCTGAAACGGTTACACGACTTTTCATTGAGAATTTCGCTGGTGTTTCTTCCCGCATCGTTGACGATGCAAATTGAAAATTTAACGATTTCTCAGTGACCAAATAAAAATCCAAAAGGGCACGGAATAACCGGTGCGGCGGTATCGTCAAAACAGCTACGGAAGCGGGAGCGGATCGAGGGTAGTTGAAATGAGAGAGGAAGTCGAAGCGTGCCTCTAAAAATACGTTTATGGGATCATAACGCGGCGAGCCGCTTCTCTCTCGCGGCCTGCAGCCAGCTCGACTCGCGCATACGTCGCGTCACGGTCGGCTACGGCCATAAATCCCTCCCACAGTTAGGTTTCACGTGTGAAATTGCTATTACGCTGCCACGGTCCTACCGCAGCTGTCGTTCCTCAGGAGTCTGGCCTGGTCTGACCTGGCTAGCGTGTGTCCCCCGTACTTCTCACGCTTGCCTAGGATTCGAGGATCGACGGGGGGCCATTCCTACCCAGCGACCGTCCCTTTTGCCAAGAAGAATCCACCGCGTCAAAGAGATATTCGCGCGATTTATCAGACGTCACGCGTGAATAAGTCGTAATATAGTTTGACGCTGGACTAATTTTTCAAGTCCATTATTTCAGAATCGAATGATATTTTTCGGATGAACTTAATCATGAATTGGCAATAAGCACTACCTTCATTAACTCTTGAAGAAACGATTAGAGACCGATATCAAAATCACTGTTAATCCATTTTTTAATATATATTCTAATGAATGATTGTATGTAGTAATCATTCAGTGAGACTTGTCCTCTTAAACTACCATTTACAACTTGTTCAAGACGCAGCACATACAAGGAACTTATTCATATGTAATACGATTTTTCTGTGTCGCCCTTGAAGTTGAATTACGCTCGTCGCTTCATCGCGAGTTCTCTATAGAGCGCAACAGCCAGCTCGCTAATGCGTCTCGCGTCTAATGACGAGCGTGACTTTGACTTAAGTCACGCTACCTGGACGAATTCGTTACATCATATGTACATCACTGGCGCGGGGAGAAAAATTGTTGCACAGCCAGGGTTGAGGAAGGGGAAGGACAGAGACGATCGCGTCAGGTGTAGGCTAGCTGAGCGCGGTACAACTATCAGACAGGATGCCGTGAATTCAGTGAAACACAATAGCCGGTGGTCTATCATCCCGTCGTACCGCGACGACTGCGTATCCTTCTTCGTTGGATTCCCCGTCGTGATAAAAGTGCGCGTTAAACTGTTCCGAGATTTCATGTCGATTCCTCGTGACACCGTGACTCCCATAAGGGCACCGTTATGCCAAAGAGCATCGTCGTCCGGATTGTCTATGCACCGAAATACTCCAAGGTTTATTGTGAAATCTGATTTCATAAAATTTATTAACTATCAAGTGAACTTGTGGAATTAACTAAACAAAAAGTGATTTCTTGTATAAAACACAGTCTTAACTGAAATGTGTTTAAATTCTATTTTGTGCAAGAAACTAAATCAAACGAAAATATAATAATCATTCTTTATTTTCGATTTAAAAATTTGCAAACATTCATCGTAAACAAATTGAAATAACGCTCTTTATAGTTTCAATTTTTAAAGATTTTTTATGAGAAATGGATTTCAGTTTCTTTATTGTAGACATATATAGATCTTAGATAGTGAAACAAAATGTATTGGAACTGTAAAAAATTCACCTGTAATAATCGGGAATGCTGATGTTTCAGATGCAGACGTCCTCGTCGGCGACGACACCCGCGAGGACGCCGGGCGTCGGCGCGGACGCGGCGACGACAGGATCTGGAAAGGGTGGAGGTCGCGTCACAGAAGTAATGGAGTTTTGTTACGTCACCGAGAGGATCATTGCTCTATGGTACAGGGAGGATGCGCAGGGAGTCCTTGAACATGCCACCTCGCTACTGCGAGGAAAGCACGCTGATAATTATATGGTGAGCGTTCAGCGAGTGTATAAGTAAATTAACGTTTTTGTTAAATGTCTCGTTGAACGAAAGCCTAGGATAATTGCAGTATCACCGTGTAAGCTTTATACATGTAATTAACACGATATTCGTACTTGCCTCTTAATATCATGTCAAATGATTTCCAATCGTTCTGCAATTTATCAATTGTAGTAACGTTACTTAATGCAATTGAGCAGAGTAATGAAATTATTTAATTTAGTTCCATTTCAATTGTTCAATTTAATTACAAACGTTATATACATGCATATTTGCCGCTGTTTCAGATATTCAATCTATCGTCGCCTGGCCGGGGACGGGAGCCGAACACCAGAGAAGTAGGCTGGCCGCAAGGACTCGCGCCCAGCTTGGAAAGACTGTGCGCTTTATGCAAGGAGCTGGACTCCTGGTTGAACGGTGCGCCAAATCGCGTGGTCGTTCTCCACGCAAGGTGAGTTTTCCGGGACTTTTCCTTTTCTCGACAGAGAAAGGCAGGACATACGAGACGCAGGATGTTCCGTGTTTCGTGTTCATTCCGTGGTTCTCCACAGGGGAAGCAAAGAACGATTGGGTGTGGCTGTATCTGCGTACATGAACTACAGCAGTATTTGCGGTGGACGCGATCAGGCGTTGGACAGGTTCGCTATGCGAAGATTCCTCGACGACAAGATCGGATCCCTGCAAGTTCCCTCGCATCGAAGGTAATGCGTATAGAGCATGAAGTTTCTCATTGTTGACAGTCGACGATAAATCGAAAATTATCACCTCTTACTGGCAAATAAATTAAATAATGCAAGGATGGAAGAACGTGACGTCCACCGGGCGTTATTACTTCGACAACTCGCATTATACATAATTTCGCGTTACTCTCCGGTCTCTATTTCAAAAGTTTCCGAGTCAATCGTGAATGTTTCGTAAATCAGTACACTTGGAGGTGCTTCCTTTATCTCGTTTTACGTAACAGTGTTGCATCATAATTTACGTTTCGCTATGCATGCTGAAGGTATTAATTACTCTTATGTCGTCGTTTCTTTCCGGGTTAAATATGATGTTGTGCCAAACGTTCTTTCAGTGATTAATAGATGTCTGTGAATTGCAGTAATCGTCCACGATCAGAAATGGTGCAGCAATTTTGAATGTCATTCATTAAGTAGTACCTGTACGTTTTTTAGTTAGTAAATTGATGCACAATATATTGAAATGTTACGGTATGCACATTCTTAAACAACCTTATATTTAGCTAAACCCGGGTAAAAATCTTGGTATAGAAAATAATCGCATGCATATAATCCTCGGAGGTAAAGCTGTCAACTTTGGCTATACATGCCAGACAACGATTGTTCGGTATGCATTACATCCTCCGTGTTTAGTTTTCATCGTTGAACGCGCACCGATGATCGTAATGATCCCCCGTCGAACACGGTTGTCCTTATATGCGAAACATTCCTTCGGGGCGCGATATCCACGTCGCCGTGGTCTCTGTCTTCCGTGATGCTGCGATATTGCATCCCTGAACGATCGAGTTTCCCCATTAATTCCACGAGCACCGAGCATTAGCATGTCGTTAGCGCGACCGCACGCCCGCGAACGTATGAATCCATTACCGGGTCCATGGAGAGGAGTCTAGGTGCCTCCTCGAAACGTGTATAACGCGCAGCACCTTAGGTGCCACCGGGGAACAGGTTTTTTCTTTTCTCCACCGTCCAGGAGGAGATCGACCAAGAAGAGAGATCGTATCTGACGCTTCGTTACGAGCGACACGCGGGAATTCGTGAGAGAGACCGCGAAATTACGGTCATGAGCGCTCACGATGCTGCATAATCGACAGCTACCTCGGGACAGTTTAACCATACCGATCGCTCTTCCGTGTTTGCCGGGTGTATTACAAGCGGGGAATTAATCGATCCCGCGGCGAAGATGGTCTTGCGAACCGTTCGCGAATATCTCTGGTTTCGTGTCACCGCGCACCGGGGTCCTGTTTACGGCTGTTTATTGAGAGTCTCTCGTGGTACCCTTTTGGTAACCACGCACCGGTAAAAGGTACGTGAGAAGTAGAAAAGTCCATTCGTGGTCGGACACTAATTAGCACGCGAGTGTCACAGTCGGAGACGATGCTACAATACTTTCGCACGGTGCTTTACGGCTCGTCGGATCGCGCCAAATACGGCCCGCGCTCGCGCAAAGTAGAATCGGCCATACGCGGTCAGACATTATATTACCAGAACGATCGTGGTCTTTTTTACCCCCTCGGGAGTTTCGTCATGGAAACGGGCTACGTCTGTTCATCTTGCTTATTTTACCACTGAAGAGCCAGCAAAAAATTTAGCTTTGCCTTGACCCACGTAACACGGACAATGCAGTTTCATTGGAAAATAAGTTTTGATCCTTGTATGTCAAATAGTGTTTTCATAATATGAAAGTCACTGCCTCTTAGTCTAGTTCTTAGAATGAAAGAACTACAAATTGAATGCTGGCTAATGGAATAATACGAAAAAATTCGGTTATTTATTTTTATTAGGTACATCAAGTATTTCAGCGGACTTCTCTCTGGTTCCCTAAGAATTAGCCAATCGCCGCTCTATTTAACGCACCTCACGGTACTCGGCGTGCCACTCTTCGAACCCACCGGATGTCGAGCATTCCTCAAAGTCTACGAGGGCTTGAAACCCGTTTACACGTCGGATCTCTATTCCGTGACCAACGCTCGCGAATTCACGGTGAATCTCGGCGGCCTCCGCCTCAGGGGAGACATTTTGGTGAAATGTTACCATAGGGTATACTCGAAGCAGAGCCGGGAAGTTATGTTCTCGCTACAGGTAAGGGAAAACGTGCAACTTTCTCAATTAAAACAACGTTACGCTCTCATATATTTAGTTAAGAAGCTCCGTCTTCAAAGTATATTTAACTATTTTATCTTGATAATCTATCACGAAGGACAGACTTCGTAACAGGAATTTCCCACACGCTTCTACAATTTTAATCGCGTTGATTCAGAAGCCCTCGCGAAGCGTAATTAGCACGATCGTATCACTATTCCCACTCTTGTTGTGCGTTTATTTAGAATACCGTAGCTGTATTACATAAAAGGCAATCGTTGATATCTTCATATGTATGTTATATTCTGTGCCTATACAAACATTTAATAATATATTTCTAGGATCAATTTAACAATTTATATCGACGAACTTCTTGCATTGGCGTCCAGATTTTACTCTTAAATCATATTTTTTGTTTCTAAAGTTCCACACTTGCGTAATTTCGGAGAATGTGGTGTCGTTCCCTCGTTCGGAGCTGGACGTGGCCTGCGACGATCCGCGGTGTCCTCCGGACAGTGTGGTGACTTTATACTTTGCAACCGACGCAAAACGTCAAGACGGGCCGGTGCCGGCGCCGACACCAGCTGTGCCTCACGCGTCCGCCCACCACGACCCCATACTGCACTGGGACAGTTACACGAATCTCGAAATCAGCGACGACGGTGAGTGATCGTTTCTTCCTTTTTATTATTCCTGCCGTCGCGCTCCGAGAAAAGGAGGCTAGCTATGCTAAAGGAATTTCAAGAAGCTCGGTCGAGTAACGATCAATCGTGCGAAGACGAGAAAGTTCGCGTGGAACGAGGCACTTGATTAAGTTAGATTAGAGTAAATTACAACGCGACCGTCCAATTTGGTACAATTGCTGTAACGTTAGATCGGGTTACTTAGGAGGTCAGTGCGAAGGCTGGTAGAAAGTCCGAGTAGGTGGATTAGAGGAAAGAGATGAAACTAGTGTTCTTATTTCTTGTAAGTTTGATTTTTATATTTATCCATTTACAACCAGAATCGATTTCGGATGTAGATTATTGTATGCTCGAACTTGGAGATCTAGCGAAGATCAAAGTGTTCGGGAACATTAACGTAACGTTTCGGGTATACCCGACTTGTGTTGAGAGTAGTTTCTATGTCAATTCGGAAGCTAGTTGGTTGATAAAGTCGTGACATGTTGCGCGATTAATTAACTGATAGGTCAAAACTTGCGAGCTGTAATTCAGCCGACGGAACTCATCGTCTGGACGACTAATTCGCACTAATTTTCGCCCTAATGGTAGCCAATTAACCTCGATCTGTCAGTGAGAAACAGTCAGAAATACAACTTGGCTCCGACGACGGGGAAAGTAAGGTGTACGCGGGAGGGGTTTCAGGTGGGGAAGGAAAGAAACAGGCAGAGACGGGAAGGGAACTTAGTAGTTAATGCAGTGTATTTAAACTGGCTGACTAACGTCGCCGGAAATATGTTCGTCCTGCCAGGCGGCGGCCTGAGGTGAAATGGCGGTTTATCGTGGCGACAAACCATTCATCCGGAAATAGATCAAAGGTCGAACTAATGGCTGTGCAAGGTCCGCGACTGTTGAAGGTCCTATAAGTGTTCGATTTCTTTTTATCGTTTAGTAAACGAGTAAAAATTTCTTTTTTTGCTTTTTGCCTTTTTCACTTGTGAAAGCAACGTGAATTATTAGAAATCATTCTCTAAAATAATTTCAATTCAAATCGCGATAACTTATCAAATATGTGAAACGAAACGAATCATCGGAATTTCTACCCTCGGGATTTCTACCCTCGGTTCAGCAAACCGTTTCAAAATATTCGGATCGATTACGTCACTGTGACGAGTCCGTCAAGCACGAGATGAAACAAGAGACGACTCCGATTCAATTCGTTTCGTTAACGTTCAGCCCATGCTTCCAATAAAGCTGTGACCTAAATTGCTGGCGATGGTTACATCGATGTGGTTCGTTTACGGGACTGAGACGAAGGAGAATAGCGATGTGGAAGTACGACAAAAAAATAATGGCAGTGATCAACCCATCATCTCTTGACCGAACCTTTGGTGCAGCAAAAAGAAGAAAGATTAATTCTGATAACTGTTCAATTTTACAAGAGAGCGTGTAAACATTGATCACTGTCACGGGATTATATTGGTTTCATTCTCGATTGCATTTATATTCCGTTAATCTGATGCAGATTTTCTTCCTGCCGTTGACGTATCGCGTCACGTAACCAACAGTTTTTCATCCCTCTCTTGACTCTGACGCTGTGCATCGAAACAGGCTTTCGATAAATGCTCTCGTTTGCAAACAGTTCTTTCATTTCAAAGAGTAATTGAAACCAACCGGATCGCTGTAAATTCATGAAGTTCACAATAGCACTTTATTGCAATTTTTATTGGTACTAAAAGCTTGCGGTCTGACGAGTTTTCCATTAAAGCGTAGAACGCAATACTGCAAAAGCGTAGAGTAAATCTGTTACCAGTATAAATAGTATTCTCTTTTTATTTGCTTACGCAATTTGCTCGACTGTGTAATGAATCTCGGGACCTTGAAGACGTAAAACAGAGGACATTATACGAACCCATTCGATGCACCCACGCGATAGAAAATAAGAGTATGAGAACGCTCTTCTGACTTTAGAAACGGTCGACTATAACGACCTGATGAGCTATGTGATCTACGAGCCGACGTGAAAACTTTTCAAAATTCTTTCTCTTTCACGAGAAGAACATCGAGTCTACTACATCCCATTAATTTCCAGCACGTTTCGAATTGACGACGCTCTTTGAACCAACTTCGTAACTAATCAATTCTTGATTTTGAAATTCTACGACGTGTAAAATCAGGAATTTATTTTCTCTTTGACCGTATCATTTGTGATGCTTAGAAACGGTTTACTTCTCGAATGCCAGAGTATTTTTACAAAGAATTGAATTATGTCTTCTTGACGAAACTGTCGATTTTGTGAGAAGGGAAAAATAGATGAGAAAATGGAAGGGGCGAGAATCTTATGAAATAACGGAAATCTGAGATTAAGAGCACACCCCTTGAATCAAGTCACACCGGAGGAAAATGACCATCCTATTCGGAGCGCTATTCTTCACACCGTGCACCATTATTACGTTTGTGCCGTTCATTTTATTTTTACTCAAACCCTTATCTCGAATTATTCTTATTCGCTCTCTTCATTATTATCGTTATCTATTTGAATTTCCTAACAATACACGACGATCAGGTGATAAAAGTTATTTGCATAAGATCTGTGCCACTCAGACAATCATCCACAACTATAATTTCAATCTTAAAAAATTCTCGCACAAACAAACGAGATTTTCTAAATCTTTTAGAAATATTTACTCAAATATAGTACAAAAAGATACAATTTTTCTTTTTCCAAGTTACACAAGTAATCTCATTTACACACTCTCATTCAATTAATAGAAGATTAATAATGAGATTGCATTTTGTCTACATATTAATATTTAATATACGTTAATATATTACAAAAAATTGTATCATTTCTAAGACGATTGAGTAATTAATAATGGAACAATTCTTTTTGTAGATAATTTTAACTTATTATGTGTAAAATCTGAATTAGAAAAACAGAAGACATTTCTTCGTTTTCTTATAATGCACTTTACAATGCTCATTCAAAAATATAGCGAATCGTTTATGGATTGCGAAAGTTGATTGCAATAGATAACGACGTCTGGGAAGTTGATTCTTGAAGAGAGATGGATATGTAAAGAACGTAGAAGATGGTGTCGATGGTGGGGCTAGCGGTCGGTCGGTTTATTCTTAGCGTGTTAAGACGCTTCGAGACGAGACGGAGCTTAATAGTATTCGCGCGATTCTACGCCGAAGCACGAAACGCAGAACGATCTCTGATTTTCCAACAACCAATCGTGCGCGTGATTCTGTTTACGTTGTTCTGACTCTTAGTGCTCGTTTCGTTTCTCTTACGCGTCACCCCTGCCTGGTGCAAATCGATCACAGCTTCAACGCGAACTGTCGAACACCTAACGGAATTCGACGTGGATAAAATTGGAACATCAAGAACACGTTGTAAGTGACGTTCTTTGGGCAATTAAAATTTTTCTTAAAACCAATCGTCTCTTAAGATGCATCGCGATGTTCTTTTTTAATTATTAAACACATATTCCATTTACCATTTCATTATTTTTTAATTATTTATAATGCATTACAATGCTGCTAATTATTCGAATTTAAACTTACTCAAAACTGATTTTATATCTTTAATCAGTTGACGAATACATTTATAATACATTGAATATCAAAATACATTCATACATTTTTCTATGAATATCCTTGAAAGGAGAGCGTTTCTCCGAATGGAAACCGTGTCCGCGAGCGCGGTCGGAATAGAGACTTCTAATCCAAAATTGGTAAATCGACCTGTCGCCACGACTACTCTCGCTCCAAGAAGCGACTCGATCCCACTGGAAAGTCTGTTCCTGGAAAGTGTTTGCCGTCCGCGATCTTTGGAAAAACAGCCCGTACATGGAAGCGACACCACGGATGTGGACAACTTCCGTTTGCGGCACAAGAGATTTCACCGGTGTGTCGGTATTGTCAAGCAGAATGTCATAATTATATCCGCCGCTTTTCCTCTGGACGATTTCTAGTCTCGCTCGTATGGGTTCAAGCGGGGACGATACTTTTGTCGTATGAACGATCTCTCCTACGGCTTATGCTGCCTCTCGTGAGGTCGCTTTCAATTTGCAGTTGCACGCTGAACGTTGCAATTCTGACCTTTGCCTTGCGCCCAGGTTACTGACATATCGTGAACCTCACGACTCATTCGACATATTGACAATTCCGGTCAAAGGAGCCGTCTTAGAGACAATTCAAATCATTACAATAATTTATTAGTTTTACAGTTCTCTTTAAACAAAATGTTCTATCCACCAATTGTTGATTTGCCAATTAATTTTAAAGTATTTATAATTTGCAATCCGTTTTTATCGATCGCTAATAAAATACGCATTCTCAAAGGTCTCAAATACTGAAAAGTACTTTTATATACTAACTGAAGAACAAAATTGTCTTCAATCAATTAACTGATCGATCTGTTTGACGAAGCCACATCACAGTCCGATGCCTGTTAAAGCTCGCCATAAAAGGGCGAGGGGGTTGCACAATGGGCATCGAAGTGACGAAATAAAAGTACACGAGGGAGTCGCTCGGGGTTGGAGTAAACAATGGTGACGTAACAGCAGGAAGACATACGACCAAGAGCGACAAGACAATGGCTTGTTGTCTCTCTTCTCAACCCTGTCTCTTTCTCTTTCCCGTCTGAACGACAAACGTTTTCTCTTCTCTCATTGCGGCGCACAATTTCTTCGACAGTGACCGAACAAAAGGCTGAGGTCGGGCCGTGGAAACGATTTTTGAGAGTCAGCATATGGTGTAAGCCGTTTTGTTTCCCGACTCAGTCCAGATAAAAATAATTCTTCGCCGAACGTCGGCGTTCGTTTGGAATCGATACATCACGGAGCATTAAGAAAAACGATCGGTTTAACCTACATTTTTCCCAGAAGCTTGTTTATGCGTGATCTTTATATTTCTTCCAATACATTTCCCCACCGTTAAGAAAAAGTAAAGAGCTTGCTTGCAAAGGATGTACATTCCTGTTCCAATCCAATAAA